GTCTTGTTACACTCTCTTGTATCTACTCCGGGGCCCTTAGATGCTCCTGTTGGCATGTAGGGTTCAGGGTCCCACTGATGGGGCACTTACCCTGAAATGGTGGAGGCAAATGCACAAACAGAAGCTTGTACATGGATAACATGTTTGCCAAGAGCTCTGAGGGCCTTCCGCTTCAGGGTCCAGGGAGGAGTGGAGAGTCTAGGTATTGGACAAGGTCCTTGGGGTGGGGAGAAGGTGGGTGCCACTGAGGCATGTGCGTGGCATGTTCCTTGTGGGGTTTTAGGGTGTCTTCCCCTCATGGGCCTTGGGGCTATTAGGGCAGGAACTCTGTTTGTTTCCCTCTTCACCCCCTCAGCTCCTCACGTACCCCAAGGCCAAGCATGAGCACCCTTGGGCTTCACTTACATACAGATGGAAGAAAATCAATCCTTTCTTCATGTCATATAGACAAAGGCTTCTAAAAATGTTCTTTTTTCTTAAATTGTGATGAAAATAGGCACAAAATTTACAGTTTAAAGCATTTTAAAATTCAATACCTTTCAGTACATTTATAATATCACATGGAGCCATTCCCACTCTCCAGTTCTAGAACTTTCTCATCACCCCAGTGTGAAAGTGTTCTACCCACCACGTATATAAAGGTGGTCCATTTAGGAGCGTGCTGTCTCAAGTATTTTCTAGTCCATCCACCTACCCAGAATCTCCTCTGTACCACACCCTGGTAAATACAGAACTGAAGGAGACCAGAATTCTGCTGTGGACGCCTTGCAATCTATGACACCAGTCCTGCTTAGCCTCAAAACACAGCAGAAAGAAACACTGTGCGCTTAGATGAATGTTCAGGGCTTGAAGAAGCACCGTTAATTCTCCAAGAAGTAACAGGAGGTGCTTTCACCTCTGGCCCCCACAGCTCTTAGTTATTCAGAAGGATGTTTTTCCAGCCCTCTATTGTACCACACTTTTGTCCCTTGCCTGGGAGATGTAGTAACTACGACTCGCTTGGAGCCATTCCATTGACTAGACCTTCCCCCTGAGTTTCCATTTGCCTCTCCCCCTCGGCCACATTGGATGAAAGAGTTGTTTCACTACAGATGTGTAGGTGGCCTGAGAGCCATGCCAGCAGCAGTCCAAGGCCACATAAACTTGTATGTGGAGCCTTATTCTGAAGGCCCACTGGGAGCTAGAGAAAGCTTTCAGGATGGGCACAGTGGGGTAAGAAGGGCTGGTTTCATACTGGGAGGATGAAGGGGAGCTAGGCAGGGAAGCATCTGCTAGGCACAGGGCATCGAGCCCAAGGCAATTGAGCTGTTGGGCTGCCCAGGGGTAATGGATTGCCACTAGCAGCTGAGGTGGCTGTGGGGGATGAGAGAGAACACTCTGACGGGCACCACACCGTCTGAAAGGCAATCGAATCACAGCAGCTGGAATGCTCCCCAGCATGTTGTTTTAGAGCCAGGAGGAGTACCTCATTTGAACCAGCTGAGTCTGCCTAGACTGAGTTGCCCCGCCTGTAGAGCCTGGGCCTCCAGCACAGCCAATCCTCCGGGAATGGGGCTTGTTCTGAGGAAATGATGCTTTGCTCTCAAAAGCTCATGTAGACCACACTGAGGCTGCAAAGATGGATAGCCCTGCCCTTGAGGCCCAGTCCCATGACAGCCATTCTCCAGAGCCCCGCGGTCAGCGTGTGAATGAGCATCATACAGAGTGGTTAGCCGTTTGACTAGCAGCATTACGGAGGGGATGAGAGAGTCCATGCACGTTGAAGCACAACCTAACACTGCACTTGGCCTAGTGTACCTGCTTAATGAATCACTTTTCCATAACCACATTTCCAAACTCCACAATGAAACCCATAGCGTACTTGTGTATTCCAGTCCTTGTTTCCATATTAAAAGTGGTAATCCCATTCCCGTGTCTGTAGTCTTCGGGTATTTTTTGCTTAGTAGTGCAGCGTTTTTATGAGTGGTAGTTTTTATAGGTCAGATGGAGCCAGCTATAATTCATCATGATGGCACAGGCCTCACTGGTCCTCAGAGTCCTCATTTGTAGGGAGAGGCGCTTCCTGGTACTATGACAAGTGCCTGCGCATACCCCCTCTGGATCTGAGCCACAGCCCTGATGAAGTCCCAGCTAGAAACAAGGGTCAGTTATTGGGCCCGATTCAGCCAGGATGATAAATGGCAACACCTCACCTGGGCTCCTTGGATTCCGCATTGATTTCGGGTCCTCTGCCAAGCACCATATGGTTTCCCAAAATCCTAACATTCCCAGCAATGTTCTCCTAAGTAGGACATTTTGATTAAATTGGCCCCACTGAATCAAGCGGGAGGTTCTTCAGTGTGGTAATGAGCATGTCTGCTAACAGAAACACCAACAGAGGTGGCAAGGTAGGAGTGCTGGAGACTCTCAGGCAGCTCTTGCATCATCTCATCCATCCAGGAGGAAGGGGCTAACTGACAAAGTCAAATCCTGTGGATCCTGGCTGAGCACGAAGAGCAGAGAGGTGCCATGCTCTGAGGGGCAAGGCCAGACCCAGAAGCCAGGTAAGGGGCTTTGATTCTAAGCAACAGCCACTTAAGAATGAGACTCAGCACGCTTGTAGATGCTACTTTCATTATTTTGCAGTAAACTGACTTTTATTCTTCAAACTTCAGATCGGATTTTTGGCCTTTCTACACCTGTCCTCTCCTAGCAGAGCTTGGCGTGGTCTCTGATGCAGGGGGCACAGGGCAGTGTGAGGCCACCAGCGGCCCTTCTCCTACCCAAGGGACTGAATACTTCCTTGGGGAGCTCACCTCACCAAGGGCTTCCAGGAGCACAACTTTGTGCTTCAGTTGGAGCACAAAGTTTCACATGTCAGAGTGCTAGCTTCCCTTGTTCAATGCGGAAGAGAGGAGATACTCTGGGCACGAGCCCAGAGGTGGAGCTGAAGAGACCAGATTCCTACTGTATTATATATACATGCACTGTAGAGAAGGAAGGATTTTTTTTTTTGCAGACTTAGATTTGAGACTTTAAATCTAAGCTGTTTTTAAAAATATTTATGCATTATTATTATTATTATTATCCATTGCCTGTGTGTGTGTGTGTGTGTGTGTGTGTGTGTGTGTGTGTGTGTATCTGGAGCGCACAAATGCCACACATGCGTATGGAGGTCAGAGGATAACTTCCAGGAGCTGGTTCTTTCCTTGCACCATGGGTTCCTGGGCTCAAACTCAAATCATCAAAACTTTGTGGCAGGTGCTTTTATCTACTAAGCCATCTTGCCACCCTAAATGTAAGCCATTTTAATTATGCCCAAATGACCTAGGGGAAGCTATGCCCAAGGAACTAGAAGAAAGGGTGAGTCATACCTTACTAAGCAAAGGAAGTCAACCAAGACATGGAGGTAACTGTACATAAAATGTACACAAAATGCACATAAAATCTTTAGTTGATTAGGCAGAAAAAGAATCAGTGATGTTGAAGACAGGCCAATTGAAGTTCTCCAGACTGAGGAACGCAAAGAAAATGGGATGAAGAGAAATGAATGGAACTTCAAAGACCTATGGAACTATCAAGAACTACCAACTCTGCATAATGGGAGCTCCTGAAGCACAGAAGACATGTGAAGAAACAGTGGCAGAAACCTTCTCAAACTTACGAAAATCACCAACCTAGTCAACAACCCAAGAACCTCAACAGCATGCAGGCAGGATGTACTGAAAGAGATCCATGGTCGGACATCAGAATCCAACCATAAAAGATGGAAGAACTTTGAAAGCACAAACAGGGGATCCTCAGTGAGACTAAGCTAATTTCATACCAGAAACCATGGGCACCAGAAGCAGTGGGATGCCATAGCCACAGTGCTGAAGGAGAAAAGAAAGTCAACTAAAAATCTGTATCTGGCAAAACTATACCCCCCAAACTAAGGGTAAATTAATATATTTCCAGATAAATAGAAACGGAAAGAGTTCCATTCTAGTAGGTATGTTCCTCTGAGAAGCAGTAAAGGGAGTCTTCAGGAGAACATGAGAAAGCCAAATAATATGAATAAACATGACGGAATAAAGGACACTGGTAAAATTATACAGTTAAATAGGAAAGAATATAAATGCACTTTTAATTATAAAATATTTTTATTCTTTGATTTCGTACATACATATGTTTTTAATCAAATTCACCTCCATTCCTCCCCCAACTTCCCCCAAACCCATTCCCCACTCTCAATACTCTCTCCCAACTTCTTGTCCTTTTTGTGTTTTTAATAACTGAGTCTGATTATTATCACTCATAAATTCACGGATGTAGGCCCTCCACTGGAGCATGGTTGACCCTCCAGGGGCCACACCCTTAAGAAAACTGATTCTCCCTCCCCAGAAGCCAACAGTGGCTCCTAGCTGAGGGCAGGTGCTCATGAGCACCCCCAGCCCTATGCTGGGAGGTTGACTTGCTTGATCTTGTGCAGGTCTTGTACAGGCAACCACAGCTGCTGTGAGTTCATGAGTGAAGTGGTCCTGCCATGTTCAGAAGATGCTGTTTTGACCCAGCCCTCCCCAACCTCTGGCTCTTACAATCTTATCATCCTCTCTTCTGTGATGGTCCTTGAATTTGGGGTCAGGGTGAGATACAGACATCCCTTTTATAAATGAGCATTCCATTGACATATATTCTCTGCACTTTGACCACTTATAACGACCGCTAAAGGACAAACTAAAGGATGAATGCATAAAGCAATACTTATAAATCTGCATGACAGATTCAGAAGGTATAAAAATATAATTGCTGATAATATATATCAACATAAAGGAGATGAGAACAGATTTATACAAAATCAGAGTTTTATATCTTATTATAATTAAGTTGCTATTGATCCAAATATATTGTTACAAGTTGAAATGTTCATGATAACCCTCATTGCAAATACCAAGAAGATTTATTTTTAAAATAATTCAGGTAAGATAATTAAATGATGAAGGATAAAATATCCATTTAATAGAAAAGAAGGTACTGATGGAAAAACAAAGAAATTGCATATAGATATATATGCAGACATAATCCTTTCTTATAGATCAAAACTAAAATTTCCAATAAAAATCCTGGAAAATATAATTTAAAAAAAATGAGCCAACTATAGGGTGTGTTTCAGAGACTCTCTTTAGAGATACACAGGTTGGAAGGTGAAAGAAAAATACACCATGTATTTTTCTTTTAAATATTTTTTTCTTTTCTATTATTACACTGAATACAAAAGAGGGACCACAAAACAGACCTTAAGACAAAAATTTGTTACTGAAGACAAAGGAAGCCACTGCATACTGAAGATGCCACGGTTCAAATATATTTCAACCCACAGTGGAGCTCTCAATGCACGAGGCAAACAGATCTCTGAGAGAAGCAGAGAGAAAGGCAGCATGGTCTCAAATATATGACCCCCACAACCCTAGAGGGGCTTATAATTCTACCGCTAGCAGCTCATTTGTTTGACAGGAAGCACTACCTCTCTTGGAGCCCTTTGTTAAAGGAAGTGGGAGCCCCAGAGCCACCACTTTCGTTAGCACCTTACTTGAGGCTGGTCTTAGACCCTTCGGGGCACTGCTCACTGCCGAGACAGTTGAGCCATTTGGCAAAGTTAATAGGCATGGCTAGAGAGAGCTCCTGGGAGAGTGAGGAGTCCAGAATTGGGGAAAGAATGGGACTGAGAGATTGTGAAAGGTGAGAAGGGAGAGACAGCTTGTCACAGGGGAACGCCAAATATCCCAAAGGCTGAAAGATTCAAACCTTAAGCAGGAACGAATCACATGCAACACTGGTTTGGTGCTGGACCTCCTGCTTTGGCAACCTGGGGTTTTGGGTGGCAGAGACTCAAAGCAGCATGAGTCAGCTAAGGGCAAGAGGGTGCAGGAGCTTCGGGACTGCATGAGCCAGGGTCACACATAGGTAAACAGACAGGAGCTGGCCCCAGGTCTCAGTCACTGTCCCCATCATGGAAAATGAAACAAGAGGGAGAGCCTGGTGCCTGGAATCAGCAAGGGCCACTGCTGGGATATAGGCCCTGGCAAGAAACCCAGGACTCCTGGGAGTCCATGGGAACACATGATTGTAAGGTCAAGAGCAAAGTCAGCTCTGACCTGGAATCGAGGCAACGGCCTGAGCAGAGAGATGTTCAAATGAGCTGGTGCCAGTAATTGTGCCCACTCAGGGCAGAAGACTGGAAAGTGGGCTGGCCACGCTACCAATGAAACGAGGCTCCGGTTAGCCAAGATCTGTCAAGTACTGGGGACTGTGCTGAGTTCTTCACAGCCATTGCAAGACATGGGAACTTTCAGTCTATGATAAATGAGCAAAGAAAGCTGGGTAATCAACAGGGATGCAAATGGGATGGAAACAGAGGTTCTTCTGAATACTCTGCCAGGCTCTGGGCCAGAGGGAGCCCTTGAGGATGGCTCAGATCCACACAGTATTTAAACAAAACAAAATGGGAAGAGGGGAAGCTGAGAGATGGGGACAAGGGACTCCCAGGGGCCCACTGAAGCCCACATTCTTCTCTTTCCTTCATAGTGGGGCTCTAGAAAGAGGCAACCGAAGTCTCCTTGTGCCTGTTTCCTACCTACTCCTGGGCCTCTGAAGAATCATGGACACATGTCCAAAGGCATCAGTGTTCTCCCTCCCTCCTCCAAACTCATCAAGGCACTTTGTTTTTGAATAGGAATGATATCCTTAGTAGAGACAGTTCTGGGCATTAAGGCATCTGCAGACCCAGGAGATACAGGTAGGGCCTGCTTGCTCTATGAATTCCAGTCCCATCTCTTGTTTGCTGAGAAACAGAGGAGCTGGCCACCCTTTCCATGGCCATCCATCCTACCTTGTACCTGCCCGGCCCACCCCCCAACACACGGAGTAAGCAACAAGTCTGAGTGGCTTCTATACAGATTTTGCATGCTTCAAAGCACAAATGTAACTACCACCATCGCCCTTCCCCTACGGAAAGTTTTTTCTTAAGAACGTTCTCCGATCTGATTCAGGAGCCAGCCTTCGAAGGACAATGACTCCACCCCATCTTTAACTGATGGGATGGGAGCAGGCCTGCGGGAGATTGTGAACTTCCTCAAGGCATGCAGGGGTGGATTCTATTAAGCATTCTCCACTGGTTCTCGGCCCCCTGCAAATGCTAGATCAGAAAAAAAGAAGAGCGTGCCAAAAGCAGGTAGGTATGTGCCTGGTAACTATGGGCCTCTTGTTCTTTAAGGGGCTAGGAGAAGAGGCTGTAAAGCCTACCTAGAAACTCTGGCTCGCTGTTTCTCCTTCTGTTTTTGGCAGAGTGGAGGTTTTCCCTAAAATCCTGCCCTCTTAGTAAGCTTCACTTCTTGGGTGTAGGCCACCTACATTCCCTGGAGCTGGTGCCTGTCTCCTCTACTACACACTCTGAACATCAGTCATTCGTCAAAAGCAACCTTTGTGATCTTTTTTTATCTTATCTTTTGTCTAGGATAAGAATGTCCCTTCTAGGACCCAGCCAGCCATTCAGTGCTGGCCAGGAGCAGGAAACAGGCTCTTGCAGGATTCAGGTCATGCCCTGAATCCAAGCGCCCTCTGCTGAAGCCAGCAGCTGCACGCAGCTCATTTCTCAAGCACTACCAAACTGTCAATATCAGTGACATCTTTAAAAACAGTATAAGCTCCTGGGATTAAAGACAAATGAAATAAAAAGAAGCCAATAGTTATAAACTTAGTGTTGGACAACCCCCTTCCACACCTGCCTGTCAATGTACTCCGTCAATAATCAAGTGTGATTTTCCCAAGAGGTATTTGGAGAAACCCTCAGAAAATGTCTTTCATGTGTGAAACACGTCTTATTTAGAACCTCCAGGACTGGCTACCATTTTTTAGCCATAGATGGCCTCCCTTTAAGGTTTTCTTTGTCAAACTCAAGTATGAAGTACGTCTGCAGTGTAACTCCAGGCATGGAGTTGTCACCCACTGTTAACCCTGGAGTCAGGGTTGCAGGGTCATTAGGAAGTACCCTGCAGAGACCCACAGGCACAGATCCAGGGGGCACAGTGGTTTCTGGGAGAGGCTGTGAAGCTTGTTATTCAGGGACTCAGGGAGAAGCAGAGAGAGCCCTGGGAGCTGGAGCAGACACTGGAATGTCTCATGGTCCGCGACATTGTGGCAAGAGCAGCTCTCTGGTTTCTGGAGAACAGGGGCTGACACAAGACAGGCTACGCCAGCATCACTCAAATGGCACATCTTGGGCCTTCAAGAAGCAGCAAGTTGCCCCTGTATGGTTGCCATGGCAACCACAGTACAGAGACTCCTGAGGGCATGGAAAGAGGAGAAGGGAGGTGGAGAAGGCACGTGGTGACTTTTCTGGAAAAGCCCATCTGCTCCTTTCTTCCAGAGAATCACACTGGAGGAAGGAGAACAGAAGTGGGTATTGGGGTGTAGAAGAGAAGGGGGGAGCAGATTTTAAGATACAGAAAATGTAGGCTTCCTGGCTGCACGTGTTTCCTTCCATTAGGGGAGGCAAGTGACCAACTAGGGCAAGGCAGGATGGGCTTTGCTGAGTGTTGCTGCATAGCAGCCCAAGTGCTGGTTCAAGTAGTCGCGTGACCTTGGGCTTCAGAGGACTCTTGGCTGAAGGTGACCGTGAGCATGGGTAGGAAGGCTGAGGAGGTCTACTGTCAGCCACAGCAGGATTTCTTCTTGGCAGGGGGACCAACCTGAATGATGTCCTTCCTCGCTGTGTCCTCCTGCTCCTTGAGGAACCTGAGCAGAGTGAGGTTGGGGGAAAAAGAAGATGGTGTGTCATCAGCAGAGAAAATGCTAGGCTCGGGGCTGGCCCTGGATTTCTTACATTCCCAATGTGGTCAGTGAGTCAATGGCAGAGAAAGGTCTAGAACTTTCCCTCTCAGTATATGTCATAACCCATAGGCTCTCTAATATAAAGAAGACTTGTTCTTGAATCTTAATCACTCAAAGTCAAACATCTTCATATGCCCCCGAATGAGTGCTGAGTTTAATACAGGCAGCATTCTGTACTTGCTGGATGGAGGGATGGACAGAAGCTTGAGAACTGAAAAGGCTCCTGGTGTGGTTTGATATTTCTTATTTTTGGTGTAGGCAGGCTCTCGGGGAATGGGTCTATGTAACTAGTCCTTTCAGCACCGAGTTTGCCTTTATGTGGGTTCTCTGCTTGCTTCATTTCTCACAGTCCCACCTCTCACTTGTTCCTCATTCTCCACCCCGAGAGCCCATATTATAAACTGCACTTATTCCCCTTTCAACCAATCCCATTGTGATATCATCCAGTGCTAAAGGGGTCTTCTGATAGAATGCTCTTCAGGTGCATTTTCTGGGCAAATGGCAGCCTCTGAGACTGAAGGGGATCACAGTAGAGCTGACATTTTTCTTCCCCTCGCGGCTGTTCCAGAAGGCTGGCTTTGTCACCCAAAGTTCCCCCATTGAGTCCTAGTTCTATCCACATTTTGGGGCTCAGAAAGGCAAGAAAAGAGGCTCAGATATAACATGAATGGGGCTTTGGGAGGGTGGGTAGGTATCGCTGGGTGGACAGCCACTGGGCTACGCAGCATGTGTCACTTTGTCTGGCTACCTTTCCTACCTGGCCAGGTGGAGCAGGGACTCTGTGGTGTTGTGACCCGAACAGGCACTGCATTCATAGAAGATCAAATTGTTCTCCTGGAATCACAGAGCAGAGAGAATAAACAGAGGGAACTGAAGGAGATGGGGAACAGAAGGAAGCTGAGGAGAACGCCCTCTGTCTCTACCTACAGTCTCTGTCTCCTCTCCTGACCTGCTTTGCTTCTTTTTCCTTGGGCCTTTAATAGGTGTTAGTTCTCTGTGTAGCTATCAGCAAACTATAACAATGTCACAACAACCTAGCGTGGTCTTGTGCTTTGTGGTTTCTTGAAGCCCTGTCAACAATGCACTTGCCTATTTCAGGTTTACGTCCGCCTTTGAAGCAGGTAGAAAGGCCAGGGTAGACAACACTGTTTCCACTTTCCAGGCAGGAGAACTGAGTCTAGAGAGGCAAGGAGGCACGTCTGCTCAGGTCAGGCCCTTAACGAACAGCAAGGGTCCCCTAAAGTAGCTGTCACAGGACACTGCTCCTCTGTGGATCTCGGGAAGAAGTCTTAGGGCTCCAGTAAGGCTGTACTCTGGCTGTCCAGGCTGTGAGAACAGGCTTATAGGGCAACTCTCCACCACTCATTAGGCAGAGGTGGTGCTGGGTACATGGCAGATCTTGGCCAAGGACTCCATGTCCACTGATCACCTCCACTAATAGGTTGCTTGCTTCATGACAACAGTGCTGGCGGAACTGAGCTCTGTTCGGATGTTCTTTGGAGGTTCCTGCCTGTGGTGACTGGGGCCAGGTGAGCGAGGCACAACGAAGATGGTAGCTCAGGAGGCTTTGAGAACAGCAGCTTCCAGCTCAGCTCTCTTCATCCACACCCAGAGGCCCAGGTCCAGCCTGTGCCCCTGGGACCCACATGCTTCAGATCGTACTGTCTATTTGTCTGCCCAACACTGACTCTTGGAGGAGGGCAGAGGAGGAGCCACTCCAAGGATGGAGGTGCAAACAGAAAGGCCCAGAACCTAGACTTGGAAGACATGACTTGCCTACCAGCTTCAACTGCTTGATCCTACTGTTACCATATTTGAAATCATTCAACTGAGTTCTGTCTCCATGGTTTCTTTTAACCATTTGAAAAGAAAAATTATATATATAAATTAGAGGGTATAGCTCATTTGATAGAATCCTTGCGTGGTATGTGTGAAGCCTGAGCATGATCCCTAGCACTGCATAAATAGGGACTGGTGGCACACATCTGTAATCCCAGCACTTGAAGGTAGAAACAGGAAGATCAGAGTTCAAGGTCAGCCTGGGAGATATGAGATTTTGCTGCAATACAAAAATAGGACCAAAAATGAAAGAGAGAGAACATAAAAAATTGGATGTAATAATCATAAATTGGGTCTGCTGGAATATTTTTATCTAGATTATTTGGAAATTCAAAGTTTTTAATTTCAGGAAGGCAATGCACATAAACACTATGTATGATGTAATATCTCAGGGGGTCTGGGACAGCACCCTATAACCAAATACATTAATATTTCTTCAATGAGACATTTGTATACTCACTAGAAGTGAGATAAAGTCCACAAACAGCCTCAAGTCAGATTTCCTGCTGGATGGAATGAAAAAGAAAAAAAAGGCCCTCTTATCTTCAAAGCATTTGGATTTCAGGATGGTGGATATGTATGTGACGGCTCAGTGACCCTACTCGGACACCAGTCAGGGCCTTCACCATCCTTCTCCTTTGGTTCCTACCATCTGTGCTCATTTCAGGCTCTGAGGTTAAGCCCTGTTTTTTGTAAGAAGTTCAGGAATCATAAAGCACAGGGCTGCTAGGCACCCTTCCTCTTAGGTACACAGATCCATGAAACCAGAGGCAAAAAAGGAACCACAGGAGGAGCCGTGATCCGCCCCTCCCACTTCCTATGGGCCCTGCTGGTCCTATTCATGGGCTAAAAGGCTTCTGAGACTTTCCAGTGCCTCCCTTGAATTTTTTCTCCAGTTCTCAGCTTTGAGGCTCCGTCTCATATCAAAAACATTCTGCAGCAGAGTGGTCCACATTGCTGCCCGGTGGATGGGGAGGTTTTCATCCTCAAAGGTGATCGGGTAGAGATTCAGATGGTGGGATTCCAGTATCGGAGAAAGAGTAGAAGGAAGAGTCTTCTGCTTTCTTGGGATTTGGAATTCCATCTTCCACATAAGAGGCTTTAGCACAGTCCTCCTACCTGGTGCTCCCCAAGCAGTGCCATCGTATATCAGTGCCTCTCTCTGCCATTCTACATACACAGGACCCGAGTCATTCCCACAACTCCAAGACACCCATCTGCTCAACTGCTTCCCTTCAACAGGGCTTCCACAAGTTCCCACCAAGGCTCTTGGCCTTATTCCTGAGTGCTGGAGGTTCCCACCCTATCCAGGAAGAGGGAAATATCGGGGTTTTTACCTTGGCGAGCTGCTCTCCCAGGCCCCGAGGGACTTCCCGCTCCTTCTCGTTGTCCAGTTTGTTGCCCAGCAGCAGAACAGGAATTTGGTCTCCCACAGCTTCCTGTAGAACAGAGCATCCCTCCACTGAGAGAAGCCTCCCTGGATGATGCCAGACAACAGGCTCACAGGGCTGCCTGGAAAGACCCAGGCTCCTGTGACAGAGAGCTCAGCAACAGAGAGTGAGATTCCTGCCTTCTAAGGGTCTGTCTCTGTCTCTCCCCTCCCCCAAGCCCTTGTCCATGCAATGATCTGTCTCCTTTCACCACCCTCTTTGGCTCTTGTATAAAGCACACTGACTTCCCATTTGTGCTGAGGAGAGGGAACTGGGCTGTGGACACCAAGCATTCATTCCCTCAATGACTTTCAGTACCATGGAGAACCTTGCTAAGTGACCAGACCCAGTCTAACACACCAGAGCAAAAGAACCTATGATATTAGTCAATGGAGGTTGGAGCTGAGCTGTGCTTGCTTGGATGAGAAGTGGGATCTTGAGCTTCTGTGACACGTGAGCTCCCTGAGGGGACATCCGAACCCGAGTCATGGTACTGGGCCAAAGAGCTCCGTAAGTGGCTTGTGAGCCCAACAGGGGGCAGGCACTATGGGCTCATGCTCCTGGGAGCTTTCACTCCTAAGAAGGGCTGGCTTAAGGATGAGCTAGGTGCCATGGCAGACGCACTTCTCTGGCCAGAAGTGATGATTTCACACAAGCTGACAACTGTGTTTGCTCTTGCGGTGCCTGTGGGGTATCAGCCATATCCTGGGGACTCTGCCCTTTCTGCAAAAAGGGGGTGCTACATGTACACCCCCAAAGGCAGACCTATGGGCCTAGGACTCATAGTCATGCGGCGAGCAAATACAGTAGTGTTCACATTAAGGTTGTTATTTTTACTTCGTAAAATACTTAATTAGGGGCTTTTAATCATAATTTGGTAACGAATAGTTATTCACTGCAGCTAAATGTTTTGCTAAATAGAGGGACTGTGGAATATTTGACGTGTATAAGCCTAAGTTATGGCTTTGCCAGAAGTCTCACTGCTTTACCTCAGCATCTCACACAAACAGCTAAAGTAAGTCTGATCAAAACACCTGTTTTAAAGTTTAAATGCAATTACCTCTGAAATTAAATCCTCCATGTTTCCTTAATCTGCACATTTTACTGCAGTTCAGTAGGAGAGAGAAATTCTCATTTGCTAATTGGGGACATCAGGCATGGAGGACCACAAAGGAACATTTGGCCACAAAGTGAGAGAGATGAAGGCTTAGTACACAGGTCCATCATTCTCTGACCTTTTGGCCTAGAGTCACACTTCTAGCAAATGCTCTGCAGCTTGCTGTATTACTAAACAGAACACTCTAAAAATGGCACCCTCTGGGAAGAGAGTAATTTGTGTTCACAATGAGGTCTCCTGTCTTCTGACCCACCAAAATAAAGGAAATCACACGGGTAGGTGATCAATAAAGTGTACCATCATTCAATTATTCCAAAGTGAGAAAGCCAGTTAACAGCATAGACAGACAGCTGGGCTCCCTGTTAGCTGAGTGTTGTTAATGGGAATGGAGCAGAATATTTATGCAAAGAGTTTTTCACATAAAAGGAAGGAAAGAGGAGGACGAAGGGAACTGGGCCAAAAGACTTTGCTGTTTAGAGCACACGAGAAAGATATATTTGTAGACTTCTCTGTGAGGGATGACTAAGGCTTGTGGGATTTCTTGATATGGAATCTCTGAAAATATGAGCATCAGAGTTAGACTCCAGCCCGGATCTTATTAGTAGGTGGGATGGGTCACAGCTCCAACTTCCTTCCTTGCCAAGGAGGTGATGGACACTGAATGTCTGAATAGGATGAGGTGGGGCCCAAGCCTCAAGCCTGGTATGTTCCCTCTGTAGAGCAAACAGCACCGCTGCTCTTGGGGAGAAGGGCAAACTTCTTTGAGAGCTATTCCTAGACAGAGAAAGAGGCGGGTTTAGAAAGAGCAGAGAACTAAGTCAAGCGCCCAGCTGCACCCAACTTCCATCCTTTGCTTGCTTGTGCATTGCACACATACTCTGGACAACTCGCTTCCTCTCCATGGGTCTCCCTGAAAAGAGAGGACAAGGCCAAGCTCCAGGGTAGATGAGATCACACAGCGCCCGAGGGTATGCTAACTGTGACAAGTGGCCAGTCCTCGTCACCCTGGCCCCATCACCCACAGAGAAATGAGGAGGCTTGGCCTGGATGTCCATCTTGTGATCCTGCCTGACTCCTGAACTACCTGCCTGAAGTTTATGCCTTGCTTATTTCTAACTAGGTTTTCTGCCTGTCTTGTACTACTTGGTACAAAGGGACAACATCATATGTTAGGTGTTGCAACACTCTGCTTTTAGATTTATCATTATCTTAATTTATTTTGGTGCAGGAAATGGAATGTAGGCCCTTTCCCATGCAACGCTGGCACTCTCCAGCTGGGTGACGCCTCCAGCCTGACACTTCTTTTCGAAAGTGCACCTCTCCTAAGCCTGGGAGATGTTGGTGAGTAGGTCCACCATACCCTCTGTCATTGATAATGTTCTAGAATCCCAGAATATGCACCACAGGACAGTCTGACAGCTCTCAGCTCACTGGCTGGGCACACAACCTGTCCTTAAGAGACTGGGTGCTGCCACCTTCCCTCTGGATGACTCCTCCAGAAGCTTCTGTTCTCTGAGTCTCTAGTCTCAGATCTTTCAAAGAGGCTTCCCGAAAAATTCTCTGTTCTAGAATGTTCTAACAGAGAAATCTCTCCACACCTTTGATTGCCACGGCTTGCTCTCTCTATATTTGAGTGTGACGGAAGATAGATTTGATGGAATTTAAAATCATTCATCTCTAACTTTACAGAACAAGAGCTGTCAACTCCGAGCAGAGGACTGTCAATCAGCCCTGGGTATGCAGCTGCTGGGTTGTGTGTGTGTGTGTGTGTGTGTGTGTGTGTGTGTGTGCATGTGTGCGTGCGCGCACACTCGGGAAATGTGTGTGAATGTCAGCTTGCTGGAGGCATGCAAAAGCACTTAGCTGGAGAATTCTGCTATTTCTCTGGGGCCAGAATTTTTTTTTTCCTCAGCACATTAAAACATGCCGTTATGCTAAGAAAGAAAAAAAAAAAAAGACTGCAAAATTATATCTTGAGGGTTTCCATATTTATCCACCCCCTGGACTATGAGTCAAAACAAGATTTATTTGTAGAGTTCGTTTTAAACTGCCAGCACTTCAAGTTCAACTTGGAATGGGGGGGGGTGGTAGAAATCAAACTACTATTTTTTGCTCCCTGCTGTACATTGTCACCAAGGACAAAGATCACAGGCTGAGATTTCACTTGCAACCACGAAGGGAGAGGGAAGTGGGCCAGATCCTCTATGGTTGAAGAATCATTCTGCTTTGAGACTGGAGTAAGAAGGCCTGGGAAGGAGACAAATGTCCCTGTGAATTAGCAGATTTTAGCACAGGCCACGTGAAGAGAGAAGCACAATGCGACAGCAGAGCCCTGGCCCCAGTTCTAGCTGTGTGTCTCAAGCTGTGGGTGCCTTTGCACAAGTCACTTCCTCCCTTTGTTCTCCAAAGTAGGTGTGTGTGTGTGTGTGTGTGTGTGTGTGTGTGTGTGTGTGTGTACACACGCGAGCGCGCGCCTGGTGTTTGTTTAGCTCAGAGATGCTGGTATATATGGATGTACCTTTCCATCCACTTTTTATTTCCTAAATGTATAGGCTTTACTATATGGTGCTAAGTTGATGTTTAAAAAAACCAAAAACTATCAGGCCATGGAGGAAGAGGATCCAGTCAGTCCTGACAAGACTTAAGAAGCTATGGGCAGATGGCAATAGTGCAGAACTCCCCCTTTCAGTGGACCAGGGGACGGGGATGAGGGAAGTGGGGTTGGGGGAGCTGAGGGAGAAGGCTTCATTCAAGATACATAATGAATAAATTGTGAAGAAAAAAATTAAAATTTAATAAAAAAAAAAAAACCCAAAACGAAATGCAAAGTTCAATAAGCAGAACAGACATTGGAGATTTATAGCTTGGACTTTGGGGGCGGGGGCTGCTGGCCCATAATCCTGTGCCCAGGTCTGTGTCTTCTGCCTGATACAGATTCTTGGGGAATCTTCAGACATCCAGTTTGTGCAGCTGCTCTCTTCTCCAAGTTGGAATAGTTAGATCCAGGCTCCTAGTGGTGATGAGATGGCCTGTGGGCTGGAGATGCAGAGCTGGCAGGAGACACTGTTTGCCTTGACTTCCTGAAGTCCCCCAGTCCAGTCACAATGGACTATGGCTGGGCCAAGCTCAAGCATCTTTTGAACAAGGCTTGCAGACGGGGTTGGAGCTGCCCTGGAGCAGGGAGGCCAGGAGGGTGAGGTGGAAGAGGACCACAAGGGCAGAGCCATTTCATCACACAGGGCACTGCTGTTCTTCGTTTGAGAGACTGATCCTCAAGGACTCTCTGTTCACAGTGTGATGAAGGTGGGAGAAATGGGGCCGAGCAGGAGGTCACTTAGAAGGGAGTGAGGTGGTTCTCAAGAGTCTCTGGTTAGTTCTTTTTGGTTTGTTTGTTTGCTTTTGAGACAGGGTTCCTTTGCCTTGGCTATCCTGGTACTCACCCTGACCTCAAACGTACAGAGATCTGCTTGCCTCTGCCTCCCAAGTGCTGGGATTAAAGGTGTGCACTGCCGCCACTACCTGGTTCTGGTTAGTTCTTGTCAGAGAGTTGTCACAAAAGAGCAAGCCTGGACCTTCCATTTTCTGACCTCCCCCCATCCCACCTTCTACCATGGTGAGCGCCACCATGATGCAATACAATTAAGAGGGTTCTGCTAGAGCTAAGCCAGCCCTGGCGTCACACCCTTGGTCTTGCCAAAGTGTAGACTAAGTGAGGTTTTCTTCACATACAATTTCTGTAGATGTTATTGTTATAATATGAAAGCCAGAGAGTAAGTCTCCAGAAGTTCTCTTATATGAGAGGTTTCTTATTTCCTTCAAGCTGGAAGGGCCCTCAGGTCCTCTCATTTACACTGCTTGCTCATGGATCCCCTAGGACTTCAATGCCAGGCACTGTAGAATTTGAGTGGGACCAGTAGTACAGGGTCCTGTCCCTCAGTTAATGGTTGGCCCAAGCGTCAGGGCCAAGAAGTGGTTGAGCTGAGAGAGTAAGAACTTTCTTTCCAGGGAGCTGTGCCTCCTGTCCTGAGCACCTGTTTCCTCCCCTGTGACCTCTCCCAACACCACATCTTTCCCATTCATGGCAAACACAGCAACTTAAGGCCTTGTTCCCTGGGCTTCAGGTGGAAGTGGAAGGGGAGGAGGAGTAGGGGGAGCATTGGGAACAGCTGGCCACCATTCAGTTAATAACATGGCTTCAAGCCCTGAACACTGTCATTAAAGGTCCTCCCGCCCTCCTTCTCCAGGCGAGAGAGTTGGAAAAGTGCTTTGAGCTCTTTGGAAAGGAAAAAAAGAAAGAAAGAAAGAAAGAAAGGTTCTCCACAAATATGAAGTACTTATTATTTTCAGTTCCCCTCAGATCAAATTAGGTGTCAAGTTTTAATCCATCACCTGACATGTCTGATTGCTGGTTGCCAAGGCAGAGTGACTTAGCCTTTCAAGGATGGGTGGGGGGGAATAATTGCATCTATGATGCTTGTTTTCCACACCTTCAACACACAGTCAACCATTTAGCACAGCCTCCTACAGTTGCTCCGAACCCTGGGCCGTGGAACTGGATGCCTCTCCTAGGCCGTGGAACTGGATGCCTC